AAAATGTTTTTCATAACTTCCCATAATTCTCTCCGTATGTCAGTTTGAAATCAGCGCGCGTATTAGACTGAACTCGGCTCTCATAGTGGGTTGTCTAAGAGTTTTTTTGGCTGCCTTGAACAAAGTTTTCCGGAAGGCATCATTAAGCCTTGTGAAGGAACAACTCTCACGTCTGGCAAAGTCTGCTGCGTCCAATATCTTCTGGTATTTCGTCTCATTTCGGGCTACACGGGTGATAGACTGATCCCGGGCTTGAGACGGAAAGATTGGAGATTGCGCGCTTTGTTGTTGGCAGTAACAAGTCTTTGGCCTCACAAACTATGTTCTAGGGTTGAAATCTATTAGGCAAGATGGAAATTCATGCTGATTTCTGACCAGGCCAAAGACTTAATAAACAATTGTTTGGAAGGCGGGGGCTGTATGTCTCCTTTTCAACCGCTGGTTTACTTCCCGGATCTTGAATAAATGTCGAGAAAAGTTCCATGTGACGATTTATGTGGAGAAAGCGAGAGTTTTACGGAGTAATTTGACGATGTTTCGCCCGTGTTAAGTGTGGAGATAGTATGAGTGGTTTTGGAAAGTGTTGTGATTGCCGCGAAAGTCATTTATTGTGTGCTTTGCCGAAAGTGTTGACAGACAAACTCAGGTATGTGCGGTTGAGCTCGTGTTACTAGAATACTTTGTGTCAAGCATAAAAACGCTTCGTGGGTGTTTAGTTCAGGTGATTTTGTCTTAGGAAGCCTATTCTGTGCTAAAAGATTGTGGATTCTTAATCTGTTTTCGGCCGACACTGAGCTGTGGGCCTCACGGTTTGACTGACTAAAAGACTACAATTCTGGACGTTTCAAATGTTGTTTATTTCACCGCAAAATCCTGTTACTTCTGCGAGAGAACTTTACCGTCTATTGCCAGCAATAATGCTGTCATTGTTTAGCTTCAGCTAGTGACTTTTAATGCACCTATCAATGTAAATCCCGTCGGGGCGGGGGGGGGGGAGTGCGGGCAAGGGGCGGGGATTTGATGCCTGAGACTATCCCCCTGTCGGGCTTTTGATCGTGCGAAGCGACCCCGGGGTCGGGACATTTGACTTTGACCGATAGAAGCCTGGTATCAATTCAGAAGCGGTAACCAAGTCCGTCCCTCGAGGCTTTCTGAAAGTCACGCTGTTGGAAAAAGTTGTGAAGTTTCATTTGTTTTAATCGCCATAATCCGATACTTTACATGTACACTGTCATCTAAACAGATAATGTCTATTTTGAGAAAGTTTTTATCTTCAAGTTCCCATCTGATTGTAAACCTCGATTGAAATCGAATTCTACCATGAAAGTCAGAGGATTTTTTACAGGTCACTGATCTGACCTGTTGAGCGGATGCTATAAAGCATTTTACGTTTCATTAATATAATAGCACGGTCAATCTTCCTGGAGTGATTATGTTGTTCAAAATAAGAGATGCTCGTGGAGAGAGAAAATACTTAATTACAGCGAGTAATTTAACGGAGCTTACGTTAACCTTAAATAAAAGTAGTAAGAACGTACTTTTGAAATGTTCTTTCATTCGTTTTATATAGTATTATAGTGTTGTTTGTTTAGACTTTTCCCCTGGGGTGGGGGCTTTTTTGACACTTTTGATTGTCCTTTCGTTTCCCACCCTGGGGAATTTGACAAAAAAATCTTAAAATTTGTCAAATCCGCACCCCTTGCCCGCACTCCCCCCCACGGAGTTTACATTGATAGGTGCATTATTTACAGACAAAAGGCAGGCTTTTTTTAAATGTAACATACCTTTAGAGTTACTCAAAGCATCACTATAACGGTTAAAAATAGACCAGACCTCGAATCAGTTTTCTAAAAAAACAGCTTGATGTGTCTATAATTTCCGTTATTTGAACCAAAAAGAGAAATTACTCTTGAAGTCGCTACTTTCGGGGGTCGCCACTTTTGGCATTATCTAACCATCTGCGAAATTTTATCGCTACTTTCAGAGGGTCGCTACTTTCGGGCGGTCGTTTCTTTCGGAACTTTACGGTAGGCGCACTAGGACAAGGCTCCACAAAATCAAAACGTGCTATCTAAGTGCCAATGCATACTAAAATCCAGAACTTCTTGTCCAGATCCCGATGCGAAGATTTAGCGGTCGCCAAAAGGAGGTGATCGCTTACGAGAACCAGACCACAAGGTCCACTGCCTAGAAGAGGTAGGGACACATCTACACTCTGGAAGAGTATTTATAGCGCAGAATTCCTAATTTACGATTTTTTGAATTTTCATGTTGTCACTAAAACCAAGATTAATAATAATAACTAGAAATACGTGTATCGCAGAACCTAACAACTAAATGCTGGTAAATGGAGAAAAAAATTATTGTTAGGCGAACT